GACATTGGAATGAAGAAGACAGTGTCTTTAACAGGTGCACTGCTGTTTATGGGTGAAGATGATTATCAACAATGATGCAGTTCACTTAAGTAAAAGCCACCTACCCAGTCGTAATTTTTAGAAAGAAATTCAGCTACCGTTGACTTATGCCTGGTCAACAGTTCCTGGAACAAGGCAGAAGAAAATGTGAGTTGAATTATGGTACTCCCAGATCAATGACGGACAAACATTATAATGCAAAAGAAATAGCAGAAAATCAAGATCTGTGAATCAATATCCTATATTGCTCAGCTAAGTAAAGGGAGAATTATAGGTTCATAATTTTGCAATGCAGTGGCTTCCTATGGATTAAAAAGACACATACATGAGTGACAGAAATAACAGAACTTAGTGTAAGCAATATACCCATTCACCAATTAATGCAGAGTGCAGATGTAAAATAATTTTAATATTCTCTTTCTTAAGAACTTGGGATGCCCAGTCAAGCTCCCTAATAAAGGTGGAGTTACCAGAAGAGACTCTTAAATTGAAAATGAGACTTATAGCAAGAATCTCAGAGACAAAAATAAATAAATAATAATAATAATAATAAACTCCCCTTCCCAACCACCCCTTTCCCCCCTCTACTACATCTGAGCAGTGGGTCATGGGGGATCTCAATCAATAATTTTTTCAAAAAAAGAAATACACTGCTTCAATAAGGAGACAACCTTGAAAGTGGCTGCAGCATCAGAAGCAATATCAAAATTTGGAAGTTGTATGTAATCAAAAAATTTCTTCATGTGCTCTGATTCCAAAACATACCTGTCAAAACAAATCACATTTTTAAATTAAAACAGTTCAGCATCAAATTCTACTATTGCACTAACTGGAAACAAATAAATTCAATGCGATCCAAAAGAAATGACTAGAAAATAGTGTAAAATTGCCTCATCCTAGTCAAATGTAGAAAAATTTAGATATTCACTTCAAAGAACATTATAAGCGCGTGTATCTATCAAACTTTCTAGAATGCCTGTGTAACAGACAAAGACTCATCTATCCATTTTCTTTGTGAATGATAAAAGCAGTGTTCGAAAAGGAGCGAAAATGCGCCGCCTAGGCGTGATGCGCGGATCAAATGCGTCGAATTTACCTGTCAAAACAAATCACATTTTAAAATTAAAACAGTTCAGCATCAAATTCTACTATTGCACTAACTGGAAACAAATAAATTCAATGCGATCCAAAAAGAAATGACTAGAAAATAGTGTAAAATTGCCTCATCCTAGTCAAATGTAGAAAAATTTCGATATTCACTTCAAAGAACATTATAAGCGCGTGTATCTATCAAACTTTCTAGAATGCCTGTGTAACAGACAAAGACTCATCTATCCATTTTCTTTGTGAATGATAAAAGGACAACATTAATTTCATGAAGCTCAAAGACATGAGACAATCAAATATAGAACAGAGAATGTGAGAAAAAAGTTTAAAGAGTCTTATTAAAAAGAAATAAGACCACAATAGTCCACCATTGAGCAGTTACTCAAACTAAGGGGAGGGGAGGACCCAACATTGATAATATCAAGTGAGATAATTTAAAATTTTCTTTGTTAGTAAGATATAAATTATTTTAAAAAAAGGGATTATCAACATTCTTTATATAATTTCTGAAAATAAAGCATACAGTATTCTCAGATGACTGATATTTCGATTAATATTACGCATTTTAGAACACTGGATAAAAGGACAACATTAATTTCATGAAGCTCAAAGACATGAGACAATCAAATATAGAACAGAGAATGTGAGAAAAAAGTGTAAAGAGTCTTATTAAAAAGAAATAAGACCACAATAGTCCACCATTGAGCAGTTACTCAAACTAAGGGGAGGGGAGGACCCAACATTGATACTATCAAGTGAGATAATTTAAAATTTTCTTTGTTAGTAAGATATAAATTATTTTAAAAAAAGGGATTATCAACATTCTTTATATAATTTCTGAAAATAAAGCATACAGTATTCTCAGATGACTGATATTTCGATTAACGCAGATGGGCCTCCAATTAACTTGAAAGTTACTTCTAGTTAATTTTTTGTCACTTAAAATAAACAAATATCTGAAGTAGCATAAAAGCAGGTTATCCACTCACCTAGCAACAGTTTGGTGGCGAATGCACTCCCTCAACATTGCACCATAATGTAATGCCAAATCTGTATTCTCATAACTACATTATACAGCAGCAGAGTAACATAGAAGTCAATTACCAGAGGAAGAAAATTGGTTTTCAAGCAGTATCAGAAATGGGGAGGCAAAAAAGAAATTTAACTGCATCCTATGTGGCCATACTCAATCAGAACAGAAATGTAACTTCTTCAAAGGGAACTCTCACCAAGGGAGATACCAGAAAAGAAAGCAACAAAATTATACTATTAATCTCTCACTCCAACCATACTCTAGTTACATCTTTTGACGACCACAAAAAAATGGTTCCTCAAATCCATATTTTTTATGCATTTATTTAATATTATTGGTTAAAAAATTCAAATAATATGATATAAAGGATATATTCTTTCCGAATCAGTCTTTTTGTCAAGATTTTATAAATAAACAACATATTATACATCAAAAGTCCTCAATTTGACTTCAAAAGTGAAAGAAAGTTAATGGGAGTACAAAGCTCAGGACCTTTGAATATTATATAAATATACAGTTACAATCACTGATACATGATAGCCTCAGATTTAATTTTCAGGGAAGTTTGTAGTAGGGAACTTTTATTCGCATTTGGCAACAAGCAAACTTTCACCTCACCGTGAAGAAGGCATATAGAAAAACAGAGGCTAAGAGGATTGGTGGAAAAGAATAAAGTTGTAGATTTATTACCCTCTCAGAAGCAATTCAAATTAATGTAGAGCTAACAGTTTTCAAACCGTTAGTGGAGAATTTTTTTTATTTTTGTTTAACCGGTGCTACTGCACCTCTCACATTCACAGCAGCAATGCAATCCCAGTACAGGAAGAGGTGGACAAATTAACATGGTTTCTTTCAGTTGCAAAGGATTTGTTTTTATTGAACCTTTCAATAGGTCTAGATCCCATATCAAATAGCATTGCAAAAACATGATTGCAAAAACATGATTAATGTAGACTCCAAGTTGATTGGGAATGAGGATTAGCTTCTTGATTTTTTGTCCAAACTATCATAAATTCCACAAAGTAAACTGCTCACAGAAAGGACAAGTGGGAGAAGAGAAACAACGCACGTGCGTGTGTTCATGTAAGAGAGGGGGGGGTGAACGATATAGGAGTATTCCAGACTCTACCCAGTCTCCAATGAAGAAAAGAAAATGCAGATGGTAATATTTTCTCTGCTAAAAACTTAAAACAGAAGCCCATGAATTTAAGTATCTTTTCACCTATTTTGCTTCTTCAACCAGCAAGGAAAACTATGTCCTTTTTCATTTAATATGGGACTGAGTTGATTTTCCTGTTCACCAAGTTCCTAAAGATATGGAATATAGAGAAAAGTAATTCAACAATTCACAGCCAAGAAAGACATCTTGCCATGCCTGCTTACCCTGCTATCAAGGTATCCATTAGATCAATGTTTTTTTCCAAGTAATCACAAGCGATCAATCGTGACTGAACCTGTTGCCTCTGCAGATTTGCAACAACCTGAGTAGCATCTTTGCGGGTCTGCAAAAGTATATCTTATTAGTCATCACAGTTATCCTTATCAGTCATCACAATAAAGCAACTACGCATGTAAATGTAAGTTCAACATAAGCACTGAGAATAGTAATGGCCGTTAAATCACTCTCATCAGTCAGTAAAAAAATTAATAGAAACTATAGCTAATCTGTATTCTAGTAAGTAGTTGTGCTCATTTAAGAAACCATATCACATTACTTCTAGATTCAACTTGGGCAGACACGTAATTAGGAGGCGCAGAGTGTTCTCTCTGAAAAACTCCTGAGTCAACTGTGTGCAAGCTTCTGAAACAGGCTCAGATTCACTGTCACCGTAAAGTATTGACTTCAGATCTCGTATGTGTTTGCTCAACTCCATCATCTGAAGAGGATAAAAAGGTATATAAGACTGATTGAACAACTTAAGAGTTAAAATTAACTGTGTTCATCAGCTAATACATTTCCACTTGGCATAGCAATATGTATAAAACAATGCAAAGTTAAACTTTATAGCACATTGGACGGTTATATTTTCCTTATCCCAATGACATTAAAGCCAATAAAACTTCTCACTCAGGATAACAAGATAAATGCGTATCATGATTACACACGATCTAAGTAGACTACAGGCTACCACGGTTAAATAAATCAAATCAATTTTTTGCATTCATAGGAGAACACAGCACAGAAGACAACGTAGCACGACACCTAGAAAGTATCCACTTGATTCAGATCCAAACTTTTTTATGATGTGTAAAAGAAAACTAGATCAATGAAAACGAATAATGCGGGCAAAAGAAACAAGAATTAATCGAATCGGGAACCTTCTCTTCGCGCTTGCTTTCCTTGGTATCCGTACCGCGATCGGCCAAGATGAGGAGATCACGGGTCTGGCGAACCAGGTCAGTGGGGGTCTTGGGCTTCGGCTTGAATAGCGCCTTCATCTTGGCGTTCTCACTACCGCCGTCAGTGTTTTCCAGCAGCGGGAGCCTCCTGACCACCGCCTTCGACGCCGAGGCAGTCTACGCCGACGGTTGGCCGCCGGTTGTCAAACACCCTCCTATTTTTCCCAACTTTTTCCTCCACCACACCACCTTCAATAATCACTATAACTAATTCACTATTCTGTAACTCAGGCTGAAAAATTGGTGCAGATTTTACCAGAATTCTGCGGGTCCTGCTTAGGCCGATTCGAATCCTAATTTTATATAGGTGTACTCAGGTAGCAGGTCACTCCCTGATTTGTGCAGCGTATCGTGTGTTCGTAATGGAGTTATGGAACGGATAGAATAGAGTAGAACTCTACTTTGTAATTTCGATATTTTTCTCAAATAATGTTTGATTTTGTTAGAATAATACCCGTCGTGGGTCGTCCACGTGGAATGATCCGACCCATAAATTATTAAAAAGATTGAAAGGAGTGGTTTGAATTTAAACATGCAACTCCATATAATTATTCATAACTCCCATATAACCTCTAATAATTGTGCATTGGAAAAAGAGGGATTAAGATGGCATGAAAATTGAAGGGAAAATTCGTATGAAAATTTACATAAAAATTGGAAAGTCCTTAGAACCATAATTTGAACATGAAATCTCACAAAAACTGACACTTAGATTGTGGATAATAATCTTCCTCCATTGTGATTGGGATTGGGAAATTTGGAGAACAAGAAATGCAGATTTTGGAGCTTTGGAATGCAAGACGATTCAACCATCAAAAGATCTTGGAATTCATCATTTCAAATAAGTTTCTTGACCCAAAATTCATGTTAAAGAATGCTGCGAATTCTTACATTGGTATCAGGGCTGTAAAAGTTGTTTCCCTTGCATACTATCTTGCTATAAATGGAATTATCATGTTGAAAAAATGCATGTATTCCATTTTTGTTGAAACTTGAAGCATTGTTAGCCCCTATTTGGCCCCCATTAAATTAATTTTTTCTCTCTCTTCATTAAAACCATGCATTCATCAAATAAAATAATATTACACATAAATCTAAAACTTTTCATCACTTTTCCACCACATATTCTCTCATTAATCACTATTCTAAAAATTTTCAACTATAAAAAATGCCAAATAATGGGGGCCAAACAAGTTGTATGCCATTTTTGTTGAAGTTTGAAGCATTGTTAATGGCATGTCATGAAATATGCAACATAAATTCACGAAATTTTTACAGCATATTCCTTATATGATGTACATCATATCTGCAAAGTTTGGAAATTTTTGGTTTTATAAATTTGGAGAAAAACGAAACCCTGGATAAAATTGCAGAAACTTTAAATATTTACTGTCGTCTTCTCGTTCATCTTCATGCAGTAAGATTAGTATAGTTAGAAAGATCTTCTCATAAGCTTTCCAGTCATATAAAGAACTCAAATTTTGGAGTTAAAATGTAGAAGTTATAAGGATTCAGAATTTTAGAGGAAATCTGATTTTTTATATTAAAATCGGTAAAACTCGAAACTTAATCACATGATAACTTCTTCCACACTGTGTTTCATGATAACTATTTGGCATGGTCTGATAGATATTCTCTTTACATTTTCAACAGTATAAAGAACATAATTTTTGGCCTTGAATTGAAAAAGTTATGACCTTCCGAAATTTTTGACAGAAATCTGAAAAAAAAAACTGTAATTTTTCTTTGATTGTGAACAGTAACCCACGAAAAAAAAGATGGCAGAAACCTGAACAGTTGCCGTGGAGGTGAATGATTCTAAATTCAATTTTGAAAGAATTGCACAGTGGTCTCTTAAATATTCCAAATGCAATTTCGAAAATTACCTGTTGGTCCCCACACTTTTGAATGTTGATTATTCCAAATGCAATTTG